CATTTTTCTTTTATACACAAAAAACAACAGTCAAGAGTACCAAATATGCATGCTGGATCTGTACGTATGTCAAAAAGGGTTAAAAGGGGGGAGGGGAAGGATGGGTGTCATACACTTTTAAAAAAAAAAAAATCTTTTTTTTAGTTTATTATTTTTTTTAAAGTTCTTTATTTTCATATATATATATATATATATGAAGCTGTTACTCGTCAAAGCTGTGCTGGGTACTGTGATCAGATAAGCAGTGGTAAGAACACAACACGACTCCTCTGAGAATCACAAACATATTCTAACCTGGCTGCAAATAAAACTTTGCAGGACTGCTTGAGGGTGAGTCGTAGTGTTTGTAGTAATAGTTGTAGTACAGGACAACAGACAGTTGCTATTTTATAACAGTCCTGGAGTGGTAGTGAGTATAAACACTCAACACACACACACACAAAAAAGTTACAGTAGGCTTATTCTGTACAGAGACTGCACCTTTTGTTTGAATCAAAATGTACCTTTTATTTTCTGAGAGGTGAAGCTAAGCCTGTTTCCTGGAGTTATTTGAGTTAAAGTTGAGTTTTGCAAAGTGAAAACTCAACTAAACAGTCTGTAAAAGTGAACTTGACAAAACACATATTTTGGTTTGTCCCACTAACTTTCCTTAACTGCTTTTCTTTCTTCCTGTTCTTAGTACTACTTTGAGCAAAACCCCGCCCGTTCAGAAACACCTGTACTGTGGGGGGTCGATGTACCTGAGGGAAAACATTCGCCCCTCCATCACGAACCCCTTTGCTGGCGGAAAAGGGACTATTGCATGTTGTAGTGGAGTGAGACACAAAGGGAAATCGTCCTGCAGAGACCTCAGATCTGTAAGTGTTGAATTTATTATTGATGGAAAAAGCAACACTTGAATGACCCTGATGACCTTCCATATTCTGTAGAATTTCCTCTTGGTGCTGTTGTCTGAAAAAGTTTTTAAATATTATTTAGGTACTTGGAAGTATCAAAATCAAACCTCTTAATTTGAGTGAGAATTTAAAGCACACCAAATACAGACAGAAGCTAAATCTAATTGAATCTGTGTCAAATTAAAGTGGAAATCCCCCGTCCCCCTCCCCAAAGTTCAAAAACCAAGATCCTAATCTTTCTAATTATTGTTATCATATGAAATCATAATTGTGTTTTTACCATGTGAAGCCCCCAAAGTTCTATAAATCATATTAGCATGTGCAAACTAGATATGGAAAATTTGAAAATCGCATTGCCACCAATTCTAAGAAAACCTAATCTAAAATACATTTTTAGTTCTTGAGATTTCTGCAGGACATTTTCAACACAGAAACAGAAAAGTTTCAAATTGCAAGTCAAACTAAACTCCAGCTATGGTCATCATGTGCAAATATATGAAGTGGCATGAGTGAGAAAGCTGTGACTCTTGAAACTTTTGGTCGTTTTCTTTTAAATCCTCAACAGAAGTCAGTTTATATCAACAGCACATAAACTGAAGAGTGCACATCAAGTTAAATCTGATAATTTTTTTTTTTTTTAAACCACTGGGACATCATTGAACAAGGATGGATTTAAAGATGGATCCATCTGACATGCCACAAAATTACCTGTTTGAACTCTTTTCAACACAAATGAACCAACAATCCTAGCTAGCTGTATGGGACACTTGTTCACACAACATGGTTGTATCTGTTGAGTTGTAATAATATCAAGGCAATGGAGATTAAAAAAACAAACAAAAAAACATCACTGAAACATCCCTTTCCAATGATCAACAACTGAAGGAATAACAAGAACTGAAATCTTTGGTCTAAATGTTTTGGGGGGGGGATGAAAACAGTCAAAAACAGCGACTACGACTCAAAACAACCCTTCAAACTGCAATATATTTAAGCTTTATATATATGATGGATGACATCTCTGTGTAAATGTGAGTCACGATGCATATGCGGACATCACAGGTAAATAACGAAAGTCTCTTGTAGATGATGTGTGCAATTTCAGACAAGCCCTCTGTGAAGGATCTGAACATATCGCTGAGAAAAGTTTCAAAAAGCGCCTCCTTACCTCCTAAAGTAGCTCTATGTTTGCCTGTAACGAATACTGTACATCTGTCATAAAACTCTAAAAACCTCGGCCCTGCTCACCGTAAAACAAAAGGGAACTCTTGGTTTTTTGTTTTTTTTTCTTTAATAAATGTATATTTTCATATAAAGACATTCAACAGTGAGCAATGCAATATAGTTCAAGTAGTAGAGTTAGGGTTTTTGAGTTCCCTATTGAAAAAAAACAAAAGTCAGCTAATAAAAAAACCAAAAAAATGAAAATAAAACCTTCAGAGTGTGTGGTGATGGAGGGGAAGGAAAGACTATGACATCCTTTTGGTGATGATGCTATGTTTAAGCTACAGGAAGCCATGAAGGACAAGCCTCTTGAAGTGAGGACACTGCAAAAGTCAAAGTTGTGGGGCTCTAGCTTAATCGACTGAGAGTGATTTAAGTATCAATGCAGAAAAAACCCTGATTTATGTCTTGTTTTTTTTTTTTCAAATTGCTGGCTTTGTTGTGTGGTGGTTTCTGCGGTAAACTTGAAACACCTGAGGGTTAATGACCGGAAACATAGGGAGACGTCAAGTCTGCCAAATCGAATGGGCCTGCATATCCGATAGCACCTTGCGAGTTAGGATCATCTTGTTTCCGTTACGGATGAACGTGACTGCGGTGCTTTTAAAAAAGGACCAAAAACATAACAGCTTTGGACCTGAACTGATACTTTTTTTGTACATTCATTCAAGATTTTATCAACAAACCCCGCTTTGCTGTCCCGTTAGTCCAAGAGAAAGAACAAAGACCGTCATCACAGGTGGACAGCAACAGATACAAAACGCGTTTAAAAAATAAAAATAAAAAAAAAGGCTGTGTCCCAATTCAGAGGCAGATGACCTGAACGCCGGCTACAAAAGGGGGAAGGCTGAACCTGGACTTCCTCTGCAAATGAGATAGTTTGCACAGTGTCATCGCTAATTCTCACAATGTGCCACCTGTAACCACAGTGGATTCTGGTTATCAAAAACACTTGATTGTATATGGGGGGGGGGGGGAGAAAAAAGCTAGAAGTTTTAGGGACAAATTTACCTTCAAACATCACGTTAATACTTAAAATAATCACAGTTTGTGCAGCCTGCCGTGAAAGAAAACAGCCGGGGAAACTGTAGACCTTTGAAACAGCTTCGGAGGCTTGAAAAATACACAAAATACACAAAATTTGCAGAAACATAATGGTAACTACGAGAAATTTATGTCAAAGCAACAAATGTTGTCAGAAACAATAAAAGCTTGAGGAAGCTTCAACAACAACAACAAAGCAAAGTCGAGCAGTCGCTTTGTGTTTTCAGTATTTTAGCTCTGAAATGACCGTCATATAGAGCTCAAAAATGTGTCTTCCGTCGACAGACGTATGTCAAAATGAAGTCAAGTTTCTGTGTACAAAAGACCACAAATTTGTCTAAATTTGGACAAAAAGTTCTCGACTGATTTCCAAAGTGGCCCCTGAAATAGGACACAGCTGCAATCTCACCACATCCTTTATGCTGCAACTGTTTGGTCCAGCTGTGTTGATACACTTCTACAAGCAAAATCCAATTTGGCCAAACAATTGGTTTGTGGCGTTTGGGTTTGATTTCTGTTGTTAATAATTCTATGATAACACTGCTTGCGGGCTGTATTAACAATTTACTCTTACACAGTTATTTACTTTTTGTTTTCAGGAACTTTCCATGCCTCTCGGTTCCAATCTTGTTTTTCGGCAGGGACGGTGCGACCCAAAACGACCCGGAAGTCCTGGTAAGTACTGCTTATAAATAATAGCTCAAAATGCCATCAATTTGAAAAGATATCAACAAAATGTTTTTTTATACTTGGCTGAGGTAGAAATCTTTCCATTGCCATTATTTAAACCTCGTCTTCAATATGCCAAAAGATGAAACTTACATTGCCGATTTTGATTCTGTAAATGAACATAAATGTAGGATTACAGTCTTGTTACACCTTCTCCGGAATATTTGTGTAATCCTGATGAACCGAAACTGATCTGATGTTTTTTTGGGGGGGGTAAATTTTCAAGAAATTGAGGTCATTTTGATGTTAACGTGACAACGTGACTGGTCTGAAAACAGGCCAAATTGGATCAAGAACTGTCTGTTTTCGGACACACCGAACTGATTCAGTGTCCAGTAAAGAAATTGCCGCTTGCTATCAATGGCTTTTAGCTCCACAAAGCTCACCTCCCCCAACTCGCCTACCTAATGTAAGCAGACTACATCAAGGGCTGGTGCGTGGATAACGATAAGGGTTACTACACTGTAGGGTACTGAGGAGGACATTGGGACGGGGGTTTAGATAAACATGTGGCGGGTACAACCAAGGTTGTATCATTCACTCACAATGACTCCTCAAACAATGGCCCTCTTCCTACAACCTGATGCACTCCTCCAGACGTACCTGTGTGTTTGTGGCCCATTCACTCTGCTGCTGGCTTATTATACTGGGAGAAACGCCACAGACGACAGAGGGAGGGCGGTGCTTTGTCTGACTTTGTAACCAGCGTCATCTTGTCTTTTACAAGAGTTTTTGGTAGACGCCTTCTCAAATGTTATGCTGTCAAAAAAAACACAAAAAGACTGGCTAGTGCTGAGCCGGTGTGTATCTCCATTTTAGAGAAAGGGGGCGGAGTCGACTGAGAACAGCTGCCTTTGTTTGCCATAAAAACCAGGGTCAAGAAACCACCCCCGCCTTCCTCGTCACCTTGGCTTTTCATTAGGATCTTAAAATAGCTGCAGATTATCAGCGAGGCGGCGACGGGACGGCCGTCTGGGGACACCAGGTCCCCGCGAGATACAATGCCTCCCCAGAAGGAACAGCCAATGGTTGAGCAGCATCTTTGTGAAACCGCCAATAAGGTAATACAGAATTTTTAATTTCTAGGAAGAATAGAATGCAACTTGGTTGAGTTTTTCTCTTGAAGTTTTTCAAGATATTTTTTATTGTGATGCTTCCGCTGGTTATAAAGTCAAGCACCAGCAAGAAGTACTTCAGTTTAAAAAAAAAAAAAAGTCTCTAAATAAGAGGAAACTGAGCAATCAGACAAACAATTTCACTCCAAAAGCTTCACTGTGCACTTTGATTATCTCTTGGACCTTAGTGCATCTCACTCTGCTTGACTGCTGAACTACTCAACGCTAGATTGCACGTTCTTTCAAGTTTTCAGTATTTTCTTCTAAAGCCTGTGTCTTCAGCTCGGGACATCGTCTCCGTCTACCTGCTCTCGTTGCATTACACATAAAACATTTTATCAAAGCTTATTATTTCTGAAGGTTTTGTAACAAAAACAGACCCAGTTTTTCAGCCCACAGTCGTTAGCACAAATTCACGCACGTCACTCTTTGTTTAAACCACACATAAAATGGGTTTCAGTTATTTTTTTTTTCCTCTGAGAGGATGATTTTGACCGGATGTAACCTTTTCTCGTCTGGTTTAACTGTAGCGACATCTGTTCCCTCAGCACTCTGTTATACTGTGATTTGGTCACATAGAGCAAACATTTTATTTTTACGTGTGAAGATGCAACTAAAATTATCTTCTCAATTACTCGTTTGGTCTTTTAAACACAATAAAAATGTATAAAAGCCGAACGCAATGTGCTGAAGTATGTTTTAGATTTAATAATTGCAGGTCGATTGACTGATCAGTTCAGCATAGTGAGGTGAGCGAATCGCAGAGTAACACAAAGTGCTGAGGTCACACATGGGACTTGTTTAAGTGCTTCATACGCGACCATCTGTATTGACAGAACGTCCTGGCGTTTCTGTTCACGTACCATTTGGTTTTCCAAAAAGGCCATTTGGTGCACAAGCACGCGGCCCAAAACTCGGTTTTATGTGTGGTCTCAAACACACCATTCGTTTGCTTTTCATCGCTCCTTTCTCCATTCATAAAAAGAAAAGAGGAGGGAAAAAAAAACCCCACACACACACACTAGCTGACTCTTTGACCCACTCGGCCCCTTTTCTCCTCCTCCACACCAACTTTGGTCTCTGGTTCTGATCTGTGACAGCCATTTACACATTGGCAAACAAAAAACCCCAACACTCTGCAGTTAGTATAAAAGCAAGCCTCTTGTCCTCCTTTCAAAACTACAAAACTGTTTTGTGTCGCTTGTGCCCCCCCCCCTCCCCCGAAACCCTTCAGCAGCAGTCTACGTGGATGAACACTTCATAAAATAAGTGTCCGTTGTCTCGTTATGCTACATTGTTTTTGCTTTTTGTAAGAAAAAGGGACAGAACAGACACTTGACATCATATCCTCTTGCATTTACCACAAACCACGTCACAAGTAAACAAAAGGAAACGGCTGAAGCGTGAAAACAACTCCCCAAACAAACAAAAGGTCATAATATAATCATCTGAGGTGGAAAATGAAAATAATGGGGAAGAAAAGAAAAGTTCTTAAAATGGGAATGTTTTGTTGTCGTCTTCGTCGGGTTTCTGGTAAAAAGTCTGAGCTGGAGTTTAGGTAGCAGCGGGGTCAACCTGAAACTCTGAAGTCTCCTACTCCGTTTCCTTCCTTCCTTCAGTCACTTATTTTTTTTTTTCTTCACATTCACAAACATTTAAAACTTCCTTGTGCAAATCAAGCAGTCTTTAGAAAGAATGCCCTCCGAAATTGTTCTTGTAAAAATATATAACTCCAAGGTGGCTGACGTGTGTGTTGCAGCAAGTGTTTAATCTGTTTCTATCTGGTGTTGGGGTCGCTTTGTATTTCAACCAATCCCCCCCCTTCCTTCCCTCCATCTCCCTTCCCCAAGAGGGGGGTTTGTTTCTTGTCTGTGGGGGTGCGGCCGGGCGGGGGTGGGGTTCATCTGCGTCCGGAGGGCATCTGTGTGTAGACGGGGTATGCAAGGCGCACGTTAAGGGAGTCGTTGTGCTGCACCAGGGAGGTCTGGTGGTAGTGGAGCACCAGGTCCTTCAGGCTGCTGTACAGGTTGTAGGGCTCAGCGAAGCCGAAGCCGCGCGGTGTGCTGTAGATGACGCAGTGCTTCACTTCACCTTCAACGCTGAGGACACACAGACAAGACAAGTTCAATCAAGCGGGCTCACTCAGGAGGGGTAAACATATGCGGATACTTTTAAAAGCTGAATGTTTTCTGTCAATTTCCTAGAAAGAAGCAGCTCAGTTATTCTTGGGAGAGTTCCAAGTCAACACTGTCATATGGTAATAATGACATGAAAACTTGACTCTTTAATAGGTACTTTTCCAATACACTCATTTAATTCATACTACTGCAAATGAATGAGCCTTTCTGTAAAGACAGTAACTGTTTGTGTACTCACACTACAGAGCAGGCGTAGCAGCCCTTTTTGCTGCTTTCTCGGATAAGAAAGGCTCCGTCCGGCTTCCCGAGGAGCAGCTCCTCCGCCTGCGTCCTGTTCAGGTCCCCGACGAACCAGCTCTTCTCATCGTAGTGAGGCAAGTTCTCATCCTCCTCACTCACAAAGTAGCCTCTGCACGCACAGATATACATGGTGAACAAGTAGGACTTAGTCGCAGAGCAGAAAATGTTATATTTTCAGTACTTTAAAAGTACAGTTATAGAATTAAACCCATTTTCAGCCAAATGTTTGGCAGAAAAAAGGAGTAAAAAAACAAAAGTAGAGACTCACTCATCAGTGTTCTCGTTCTTGATTCCCAGCCAGTCGTTAATTCGTTTTTGACGAACGCCTTTGTGATTGAGCCAGCTAGAGAGGGGGAGAGAGAGAGAACCATTACTACTACTAGGAATCAGATTAAACCGCTAATTTAATTTACAACATTGTTTATGGTGCAGTGAACAGAAATCAAATTAGCCAGCCTCCAACGTCTTCTCAGAATGTGTCCAGCTTTGCTGAAATGTTGTTCGACTTGTTCCTAGAAATAAAGCAGGAAATCTCCAGCTGAACCTTCAGTAAGAGGAAACACAAGTTTCTAATTGAGCAGCCAGAGCCACAGAATGTGTCCTGGGTGACAGGATGATAGAAAGCTTTACTGTTTTATCCTGCGTTATCAATCATTAATGTGATTAAGTGGCCAAAACCACATATAAGCGGTTCTCTACCTGAGAGTAAGCAGGATGATGTCTAATTTTTGCTTTTGTGTTGTGAAATCTAAAATAACTTTCTTCAGCCCGTGCTCCTGAATTTGTTTAGCACAGTAACAGGCTGATTTAAACGAAATCCTGCTTCCTGAAACACGCCCCCTTTATTGCCTGGATCCCAGAGAATGGGTCTGAACACAGCATGAGTCTCATCCACAGGGAACTAGGCAGCTATTCTAGTTTTGATAATAAACAGAAAGTATAAATAACTATATCACCCTGAACTGACAAACAGGACTCTCATGAAAACCAACATGAGGGCCGTGGTTCATCAATATATTTTAGTATTTAGTTTAATAAACTGAATGTGGCCTGACGTCAGCCCATGTCTTCACCTTTCATACCAATAAATATAAATTACTTACACTAGATACTGGTCCCTGATCTTGCGGAGCTGTATGAGGTCAGGCTTCAAGCTGTTCATCTTTTTGTCAGTCTCACGGTTGTCCATGGCTTGTGTCTTCAGGTCCTGCTCCAGCCGCACCTTGCTGTCATGGATCTCTCCGAGCCGAGACTTCAGCTTCTCGTAGTTCATCATGATCCGCTCAATCTCCTTGTCGTTGCCCTCGCGGCGAAAGCGATCGATGTAGTCCTTGCTGTAGCGTTCCTGCGTGTGGCACTGCTCCTCGAAGATCTTGATGGTCTCGTTGAAGGCTTCAATGGCCGTCCGCTTCATCTGGATCTCCTGGGAGAGGAGGAGAGGGGTGGTGGTGAGTGGACAGTAGGGATGAAACGGAATTTCTTACGACTGTTATCAGTATTATCACGTTTTTGTAAAAATGTGCCAAAAAATATTAAAATGTACTGATACACATGCAAACATATGAAAGTCATCTAATTGTGCATTATCAAGATTTTATATTATATAGGTAAGACAATTACATGAAAACAAATAGGTCTTTAGAAGACCGTGGCAGTAACTGCAATGAGCCCAACAACTGACTAAATACAGAGGAGTCACGCTGGTTGGTTGACTAAACTGCGTAACGTGTTATCATGTGCAGCGGACGAACAGACTCTGCCGACGCGCACAGCAGCAGAACAACCTGTAGCGTTTTTACAAGAGCAGCAACACAGAGCGACAAACCAAAGCTAAAAGTTAACTCATCCTGCGTTCACTATAAGGTCATTTTCTCATCAGGTTTCCCTCTGCGCTCTCATAAAAACTACGTTGGACAGTGTTTGCCGTGAGATTATAATTAAAATGTGTACGGTAATAATAAATTTTACCATGGTTTACCGTTAAACCGGTAATCGTTTCATCCCTAGTGGACCGGAAACATGCATTTTTACTGTTAAAACTTCAGTCATGCTATGGAAATATGTGTGTACCTGCGACGTCTTTGTGTATTCTTCGTACAATCTGTCGTACTCTTTGCTCTTCTCCTGGTACTGATTGTGGTATTCCTGCAGCTTCTTCCCCACAGCATCAATACTATCCTCCTTTACCAGCTGGTCCTGAGGAATTAGAGGAGAAGAAATAAAACAACATTAGCGAGCGAGCAGCGCACAGAAACTCAAGAAGGCAAAGAAAAAAGAAAGGGCTGCGTGTCAGAGTGTGAGACGTGAAAGAATGAGGAGCTATTTGTAATTAAGGACGGAGGGAAAAGTGCATGTTTGCTCCCTTCACCCCCTGATTCTGCTTACGAGGCTGACTCCTGAACAGGCTAGTTAATAAACCACCCACAATGCCATGGGTGTACAGCAAGGTGTGCACCCTCGGAGATATTGCATCGCTCCCAGTAATGACTTGCCTGACAAACAAGTGGAGGAAGGGAATAAATGCAACAACGGGCCTTTGACACCGGGGACGGCGTTTCCGCTCCATACTGCAGCGGCAGCAAGATCTTGCTGAATTATTGCACACCAGCACGAGTCACCGCATATGGAGGGGGTGGCGTTTAAGAAGAAACTGGTCAGAAAGATGTTTCAAATGTGCTACAAACTGATTAAACAAAGATTTTTGCAACTTGGGTCTAATTTGTGTGTCCCCCCCCCCTCCCCCTATTGGTTGTGATCACAGTTGACTCACCAGCTTCACTGCAGAGACCTACAGATGTGCCAACACCAGAGGATACAGCTTTACAAATGAGTCCAATATGAGCTTCCAGGCAGGTTTTAGGCAGGTTTTAATCAAATGTTCTAAACCACTTGTTTGGAGAGAATTCGAAAGGGAACACACCTGAATTGTATTTTATAGTCGTCCACTGCATTGTGTAACTGCATGCGCACATAACTCCAGTATATGGCCAAAAATGTGTGAAAAGCTACGTTACATCTGCACGTTATGGTTGAATATTTCACTTTAAGGCATTTTGGGACCTGGCTGCAGGGATTTGCTCCTATTCAGCTACAAAAGCATCATTGAGTCTTCCAGTTCATCCCAAAGGTGCTGTCAGTCAGGGCAGACTAGTGACGTTTCACACCAAACTGGGAAAAACTTTTTTGTTTTTAAATGGACTGGAGGCATTGTCATATTGAAACAAAACTGTTGCCACAAATTTGGAAGTACGCTGTTGTCTAACTGTATGCTAAGACGGTAGTTGACCCCTCCCCCCCCCGACGTTATACTGCAACTGAGATTAAAATAAGACCTTTAAATAGTCATAACAAACGGACATTGTGTATCTTGTTGGATGGATGTGCGTGTGCAGACCTGCTGGAAGCGGGAGATGGGGTACATGAGTTTGACATCCAGCTTGGTGTTGTACTGAGCCAGAGACTCGTGTCTGTAGTGGCTGATGAGCTCCACCACCGAGCTGAACGTCAGGGGGTCAGAGAAGCCGTACTTCCCGTCCCGATGGTAGATCTTTATCAGCTTGTTGTTGCCCCCTTTCCTGCACACCGAAAAAGGAAATAATAAGATGGAGGCAAGATGATAAGTACATATCTACATGAATTCGTATATAGTGAAAAATGCTGAACATGCATTCCAAAACACACTCCTCCTTAATATTCACACTTTAAAAGCTTCTAGTTCAGGGCTCAGTTCTTTAATCAAGCACTATATTTCCAGGGCATTGGGTGCAATTTGCTCCAATTTACCAGGATGCTGCATAGGCAAAATGCTTCTCAACACATGATTTCCCTCATTCTCCAGTTAACTAGAGGGATGGCTGCATAAAAGTGGAGCAGAAGAAGTAATCTACCACTCCTTCCAGCCTCCATAAATGCCCTTGTGGTTTTAAATGTGACACAAATGAATCTAAGACTTTACCTCAGTGTGAGCGTGTAGTCGCCCTGCATTTTGGTGGAAGCGTCCCGAACCAGGAAGGTCCCATCAGGCATGTCTCTGAGCTTATCATTCACCTCCTCCCTGAAGACAAAACAGAGGAAAAACAGCGTGTGAGTTGGTTGATGATCTTGTACAGACGGTGTTGCCGCGGTTGGCTTTTATAAAGCCTGCCTCCAGTTATCAGTGGCAGGCTGAGACGGTGCAGAGGTGACGGTGGACAGACTGGTCTCTGCTCTGGATGAGTTTGAGTTGATGCTCTGCCCTGTAGGTGTGGTTATCATGTGTCAGTATGTGTGTGTGGATTGTTCTCAGAGCTAACTTGAAGCTAAAGTAGTGACAAAGGCTTAAACAATTAAGACACTTTTTACAGATTCACACAGAAATATACAGATTTTTATCTATAAAAAAAGATTTGTTCCCAAACATCAAGATGTAGTTTTGATGGGAACATAGATATCTTAAGTAGAGCCCAACTGACACTAGTGTTTAGGAGGCAAATGCCAATATTTATCGGATTTAGTATTTAATATACCTGGATATGTCACCCCAGTACCATTCCGCCTCTTGCAGTGAGCTGACTGCTCCTCCGTCCTTGGAGCCGTTGCTGGTGCTTCCTCCCACCCCGACTGAGGAGGGCTGCTGGGGTTTCGCTGGCTTCGGAGGAAGAGCTGTGAGAGAGAGAGAGAGAATACGGTACTATTAAAAAAAGAGTGGTGTACACTGTGTAACTTGTGTTTTCTAAAACTCACAAAAACTTCACCACGGCTGCAGGTGGATAGGAGGAGGTGAAGCGATAAACTCTCCAGATATTTCATCACTTTAACATTTTGCTTCGTACGACCATATGCGCAATCACACCAGGAAAGGCTAAAGAATTTTTCACTTCAGTTCTAAAACACACGCACACGTACTTCATATGCAAATAGTAACACAGGAGCTGCATTTACATCTCCACACAAATGCAGCAGCGATTCAGTTGGTGACTGTATTGTTATTAATCACACAAGCAAACAGTGGCATGACAAAAGCAGCCCATACATCATCACGGTAATTATTCTGTGTGTCATAAACCACATACACACACGTTTAAGCGGAGTGAACGTTATCGGCTGCCTGTAAGGAAACACTCTTGTTTTCATACAGTTCCTCCTGTCTTTGAACTCATCCTCCCACTGAGCTGTTGCGGGGGAACTTCCGGTTAATATTCTGTGGTTCTCGCAGCAGATAATGTTAAGACATCTGGCAGAAACTTGACATTTTATATTCTGGTTTGTGCTCTGGATCGTATGTAACATATAAACAATAACTTTGTCTTCAATTTGTGAACAAAGCCTAAGTGAGGGATCGGGTATTAACAAGTACACACATATGTGTGAGTGTCAAATGTAAAGCCTACTAAAAAGAAAATCTGCATTTTTCCTCAAGAGATCACATCAGTGAACAGATAGTTTAAGATATAAATCAGAATTTTGCTCATTTTAGACTTGTAACTTCTTGTAAGGCTGCTTGTGTTTAACCATTTTAACATTTGAAAGTTTGGCTTCTATAGTTAAATAAAAAAAACAATTTTCAAAGTAAGGTACAACAAATGGTATCATGTTTCTATGAGGAACAAAAGTATAGACACCGACAACAAAAAATCTCAAACAATACCTAATCCTACTAATAAAATGACCTGGCACGGGTAGCAGCTTCAAATAGTTTGATTTTTGAACGTAGGGAGAATACATTTAGATCACAGACTGCACCTTTAAGTTTAGATAATATTAACCAAAGCAGAGCAGAGTGAAAGCTAACAGGCTAACAAACTCTGGTATTTGCTGCCAAGCTTTGTGCCAAACAAGAGCTAGCCTGAAAATGACCCACAATACCCAAACACACATATTTGAGCAGACTCCAGGCACATCTGGATCCAGTTTAAAGAACAGCAGTGTAACTACTGGAGAGCTCCCACATCACAAATCAGTTCTCACACACACGCACACACACACACACACACACACACACACACACACACACGCACACACACACACACGACTGATGTGGACGGCATGCTTTAAAAAGGGGAAAGTACACTGATGAATGTTCCCTGAAATGCCACCGGAGGAGCGTTCTCCTACAGCGCTCACGTGCGAGAGGTCCTGGAACACTCTGGCCTCGCAAATTACCAGACGACACGCACACATGGATGACAGAAACAGGCAGGGGAATTCCCACAATGCAAAGGGAGAGCTGAATAAAGTTGGCGAAATTATACCCAATATGATTTATGTGCCTGTGCAGTAACGCGGACATCATTACTCACTGTCCCAACGAACGTTAACGCGTTCCTCGCGGCTACCGTGTTACTGTGAGTCATTATAACGTTGAATACAGATGCCCCAGACTCTACAGTTCACTGTTACACAGCTCGATTCATGTTGTTGTCTTTAACGTTACAGAACTGTAAAATGTGTAATTAAAAAGGCGTTTTTACAATTTTCTTGGCCACGTGGGGGCAGCAGAACAAGCTAAAAACACAATCTGGCATGTTATGAAATATGATAAAGTAACAGCTGTTACTTCCACAGGTAGCAGACAGCAGCAACTTCATCATTTAAATCACAGGAGTCGTGTTTCTGATTAACGCGAGTCCGATATTCTGTGTACTTTGAGCTCTGGTTTGGACATTGATGGTGCAGCATCTATCCAGTATGTTCTAAAAACTACACTAGCTAGTTTGCATCAGCATCCTAAAAAGCTGCTTGGGGCCCTGAGCCAGCAGAGGGCCCCAAATCTAGCTAATTAACAATGTGAAGTGTGTTACTGTGTCACCATTAAAATTTTAAGATGGTTTTTGCAGCCACTTTTAATGGCTTTTTTTAGCCAAATTTAAATACTCATATAAAAAGGAACTCAACTGTAGCTAAGGGTTGCGGTTTAAAACGTCTACCTAGGGCCCCTTAAAGGCTTTCACCGGCCCTGGATGCTAATGATCCTCTTTGTTGATTTCAAAATACTGCAGGGCATTGTGTGTTATTGTGAGCAGCAGAATCCACGATCTGAATTGACAAAGATTACTGGTAACGGTGGTAACTGTAAAAACACCCTAGGACCTTTTGCTTAGTTCATGCTGAGAAGACGAGATGAGAAGTTGGACAGACTGCTAATAAAAAATAATTGGTACACACACACACAGAGTAGATGAGTTTTAGTTCAGAGGAATGTAGTGACCCACAGTGGCAGCTCTTCTTCCTCCTGTTCTTTGTTCTCCTTCAACCCTGCTGTCCTCCTGACTTTTTCCTCTCTCCCCCCCCTCTTTGAATCGTTTCTCTCCTTCCCTTTCCTCTCTTCACCATGGCAGTCAGTTAGTTACTGCAGCCAAAACTGTCATTGTGCAGCTGCACTGTTCCCCTCTGTCAGCACTTTACGGACTCTCACGCACGCATGTAAACGTCCATGTGCACTTCCAAGGATGTGCGGGGTAGAAATCCACTTCTTGTTGGAATAAAAACGTTTGCACAGTTTCGTTTCAGAAAGAGAGAAAAAAAAATAACAAGTCACGCTGAAAACTGCATGAACACAACAGAGTGTGTGTTTGCACACACAAAGGACAGCAGCGTGATCTTTTACATTTGCTAAAGTCTTTTGAGCAACACTTGAAAAAAAAAAGATAAATCTACAATGATATAAAAGTGCATAAAAAGCTGAAACTAGTTAAAATCTGCTGATATTACCTGATTAATGATGAAAAGTGGTGACTTGATTGATTTAAAAAAATAAATAAAAAATCATAATCACCCTACACACAAAGGTACACACACAGATGCACACACTGTAACTGTCACTGAGGTTTAAATTCCAGTGTAATAAATATTCTAATAAACATCTGTGGGACGCTTGACTTCTATTCTACTTTTTGCCTGTGACCCCCCCACACACACACACAAAGTCCTTTGTTGCAAAGGTCCATTGGAAACTGGAAGGCATTAAATCAAGCAGTGACTTCTGCAACATCTACAGAGCCTGACCCTCTGACACACTGATCTATACTTCTGCTACGTGTGCTCTTTTAACATCTGTCCTGCATAAAACAAGTCAACTTATTCATGACAACTGTCCTACCAAAGGGGACAGACTCAGAAGATGTCATAAAGTATAAAAACTATTCATGTAACACAACTGTGTTGTTAGAAATCTGTAAAAAAACAACTACTGCATAATAGTCTTAGAGGGACGGTGAACAAAGGCGACCGTCAGCGCAGCCTCCCCCCTTCCTCCCCCCCCCCCACCAGACAAAGGAGCAGCGCTCAACCACACACACACACACACACCCACCCCAATATCACCCACAACTCTCCTGAACAATGTCTGTCAGCTCGGACTGACACACATACACGATCAACACTTCAGCATCAATACGAGCCTCGGTCATCCTTTGGCAAAGTGGCAAGCTTTATATATCTAGTGTGCACAGTGCACACAGCTGATCGGTGGCGCAGTCTGATTTCAGGGTAGCACATCAGTGACAGTAGGTTACCAATTTTTATTTACTCCAACAAGAGTTAACATGCCAGTCAAATTGACTGCACACGCTGCAAAAGCAACTTATAACTCGAAACTCTGTTCCAAAGACATCTGCTACTCGACTTCCTTTATTTCCACAACTTTACATCTGGACTGACTAAGGAGCTGTAGGTGGTTTGTGCGCGCACATCTACCATCAGCGAGACGCTCAACAACATTAGACCCTTTAGTCTTTGAGTCCACACTGCTGCAACATTGGTGCTGCAACTAACATTTTGTCAACATGTTTGAAAATCACGATTTCCCACAGCCCATTGCAACATCTTAACATCTATATTTTTTGTCCGACCATAAATATAAAAATTACAATATATAAAAACAGAGAAAAGCAGTAAGTCCTCACATTTAAGAAGCTGGAGCCAGAGAGAGTCTGCATGTTTGCCTGATAAGTAATTTCTGCAGATCGTTAAAACACAAATTCCAAAAGTTGTACAAAAACACAGAAAAAGAATGAAGATCAATGCACACGGACACCGTTTTGAAGCTTTAGGTCGTGTGCTGCAAGAAGAATCAAAAAAGGTGGGGACTGAAAAAACATTAAAGATGACAAAAAGAAGAAAAAGAAGAAAGTGCAAAACTTACTATTACACAGATTGGAAGAGGAAAAGTGAGTCAAGCAACTTAGAAAGATGACAAACAAAGGCAGCAACAAAGGAGACTGAAAGAAATACACCAAAAGAGCAAACCTGTCTCATCCCGTCTCTTGCCTTCCTCAACCATCGCACTCTCCGTTAACTGCATGCTGCTTCTCGTCTCTCAGCTGTTTCCCTCCTCGTCTCTCTCATTCACTCTCCCTCTCTCTGTTGCACACTCTCTCTCTCTCTCCCTCCTCCTCCTCTACCTCCTCCTCCACCGCCACTTCCTCCTCCTGCTCTCAGCTCCGTCAGACTGAAGAAAAGAGCGTGCAAGGCTGATCATAAAAGACAGGGGACGAGCTAACACATTCCCGCACGGAGGCCCGCCCCTTTGGCCAATCGGGAGGCGGGGGCGGGGGTGGGGTGGGGGTGGGGGGGGACTGCACAGGAGAAGAAAGAAAGGAGGGACGGATGGAGGGGAGTTAATCTGTGATATATCCATTCCTTCTGGGATACCGCCACACACT